AAATATGATCATATTTTTAGAGAACAGTGAACCAAACGGACCAGCTTTGAAGGAATGAATGTGAACGAGAGTGATGTTCACTCAGAATAATGAGCAACACGTGTCACTACCCGATCTGTACCATCAGCTCATTTCAGCAGGTGCAAGCAGATATTCACCCAGATATACATATGGTACTAAAATTAATTATTTATTCTTTGAAACAATAAAGAATGCTACACAACATCTCTAAATATATGTATATATTACTTTTTTCTGGGACAGTTTGATGCTTTTTACATTTTCTTTGTGAAACAGCTTGTCTGATGTCATCATCAAACACGTCCAGGGCAGGTCGGCAAAATATGATTAAACCATTTTTATCTGCATATTAGTATAAAACAGAACGGATTTAAATTAATTAATTTTCTCAGGTAACACATTGTTGACCTTTACAAACATTATAGTTTAGTATGCTTACTATGTTAGGGAGGGAAAAACGTAATTTAGGACTTTTTAACAAAGTAAATCCAAGGGCGACCCAGATGTATTTCTGATTGGCCAAATGAGCTGATGGTACAGATCAGGTAGTGACAACACACAGCTCATGTTCGCGTTCAGTTGATAACACTATTCACTGGATAACGTCAGGTTTTACAGCATTCATTACAGTATAGCAGATCAGCATTTCTACTGCTAGTACTTGTCTGCTCGACTGAGACTCATCTGCTGGTATTTCTGGTGCCAGTTTAGCAGAGGAAGACTTGGACAGAAAAAAACTCACCTTTCGTGCAAACTGTGCCCTCTGGGACTGAACAAACAAGTTCGTACATCAGTGTTGTTCACTTAAATTTAAAGAGAAACATGTTAAAGCATCCAAGCTTTCTTAGGAAATATCTGCTAATGAATTACAAACGGAAGAAACTATTTTTATCCAGATCTTTTCAGCAGATACTGAATGTTCCTCTATGTTTCTGAAGTTCAGTGTAATTTAGCTAAATAACGGCTTCACTGCACATCCAGTATACCTTCACTGCATCCAATATTTTCCATTTCTTTCTATGTATTATGATGATCACACATTTGAAGAGGGAAACAGGAAGTTCTATTGTGGAGGATTATGGCTTCATTTACCAAATAAACTTAAACTAGTTCATTTATAGGTTTATGAACTTGGTTGATTTTTGAAAAATTGAACAATGGACGTGAGGTAGTTCATTTTCATCTGTGTGTTCTGAACTTTGAGCTCATTCTTTTAAATTATGAACTGGCTCAACATTGCCGACAGGTCAGTAGGAAAAACTGTCCAGTTTTAAATCTTACAAGTAACTGCTGAGTCAGTGACTGAGAAATCAGAACCGGAATCAAGGAATAAAGCGTATCTGTTGGAACTGATCTATGACAAACAGCTCTATAGCACTGACCTGTATAATCTTCTAATCCCTTCATTTCATTCTGTGAAGGAACCAGCAGCACATTTTAGATATTATAACCAATATATGTTTATTTAAATGTAAATGAAATCTGAAAGTACAGAAAGAGTCTGTAGATATTATAGTCTTAAGAGTATACATTTTAACCAATAAGTCAAACCGAGGAAATTTTTCATATTTACAGTCAAATGCAAACATTAATTTTTTAAACATGCAACAATACCAATATAAAAACCAGAAATTTATTGCTAAACAAAACGTAAAACTATTGTTAACTTTTTAGCTTTTCTTTGGCTACGTTCACACTGCAGCATGAAGTGACCCAAACCTGATTTTTTGGCCCAAATGCAACCTGGATCTGATCTTTTCATGGCTGTCTGAACAACACAGATCAGATTTTTTCCAATGTGACCCAGACGACTTGGCTCTGTGGTCCTGAATCCGATACAAATCTGATCTTTTCAAATGCGACCTGTGTCTGAACGGCCAGGTCGCATTCATCTGACCTGAACGCCATTAATACCCCACATAGGTCACTATTCTGCTTCTTGCTACTCAATAGCGGCAAGAAAAACAACAACCATGGAGGAGGATAATGTGGAGAGCAGTATTTTTTTTAACCATCTTGAAAAAATTTATGTTTTATGGTTTGGAAACATCGCTATATGCGCTCCAGCACTACATCCATGTTTAATTCCGTAAACAAAAAGCACCTTGTGAAGCTTGCTTGTGACGTCATTGTGTCCTCTACTGTGCATGCAGGACACTTAATCTGTATGAATGTAGTTCATACAGGAGATCACATACAAGTCGCATATATTTGGAAATGTGAACGGCAACGCAAAAAATTTTGATTTCACAAAAAAAATCTGAATTGAGCATCAAGGCCTGCAGTGTGAACATAGCCTTTGAGAGCAGCTAATTTATTTAACTCTCTCAAACCTTAGATTATGATCAAGTCACCTGAGTTAATTTGGTTTATCTGGCACTTTATCTGTTTAGTTTTTTACGAAAGAATTAAAGATTAGTAAAAAGAAAGTTCTCTCTAAGATGATGGGATGTTAATAAAATTGGTTAAAATATTCATAAGCAGTTTTAGGTTTTACAAAGAACCGATTTGCTAATGTAAAAAAAAATAAAACAATATGTAAAACTATTAAGCAAGCAATGTCTAAACTACATCATAAAATCATCTCCACTAAAAGGGGAAAGAAAGAAAAAAGAAATCTGGTGAAAATGCCATGTCAATAGCACCTCTAGAAATATATTTAC